CGTGGACTCTGTTGTGCGTTGTTGTTTATTAAACGACGACTCGTGGATTCTGTTGTGCGTTGTTGTTTATTAAACAACGACTCGTGGATTCTGTTGTGCATTGTTGTTTATTAAACAACGACTCGTGGATGTTGTAAACGATGTTTGAGTCAGAACGAACCATGGAGGCCAGAAGTCCGCAGGCAGCACAGATTCCAAGCATGTTATAAACAGCTGATCCCACGATGGTGCTGATCCCGATGTCACCTTTGGTCACAAACACACCTGAAACCAAAAGAGAAGGTGTGACTGAACAAGGGGGCGTGTCCCTGGTTACCAGGTAGGGGTGGAGCTTTAATTCATGTGATTACCCAGAAAGGCTGTGACGAGTTCAGGTGCAGAACTTCCTGCTGCCATAAACGTGGCTCCTGCGACATCCTGAGACAGTCCCAGACCTGCGAGAGACCCGGGACACAGAACTAAAACCAGATCGTCCACAAAACAGTCGTTCAGAACCACAAGATCAGTCAGGAAGGACTCACTGGCACCAGAGAGGAAACACCAGCGTAACCCATGCCGGGTTTATGCAATAAAAGTTGAAAAGTTGTTTTATTTATGAAACAAAGCTGTTAAATGTTGGTTCTGATCCGTGTGAGGCTGGGTTGTGTTCAAAAACGTCTGAAATGTTTATTGTCTAACGTGTCACAAATCAATGAAGATAGTTAAAATGTAAGATTGTAGCTTTTGATTTAGAAGGGTGATGTCATGAAATAACTGCCCTCCCCACACACACAAACACACCCAGGTACCAAACACCTGGAATGAGACGTTTATGTAACGCACGTTCACTGATGACTTCCAGGGAGGGCAGGAAGTAACCGTCGCAGACTCTGGAGACGGCTAACAGCATGTAGAAAATGAGCAGGAAGTAAATAACGAGGCCGCCGTCCTTCCTCTCCTGCACCGTGAAGAAACCAGCAGGGAAGTCTGAGGCCTGCGGGGGGACGCACTCTGATTCATTCTCTGACACACACACACAGACGGACACAAAGAGACTGTTTAAGCAGAATTTCATGCTGGAAACAGAAATCCAAACAGAACTGATCTGAGGTCTGTTTGAGGTTGTCTTTTTCACTCAAATATCACAAAAATCTAAATTCTTCTGAAAACATTTAAATCTGATTAACGCGCTTCGTTAAAACATCTGACAGTCGTGGATTTGTTGTAACAAAGTTAAAACTAAACTAAAACAAACAACTAAACTTAACGTTAGCCTGTTAGCTTTGCATTAGCTTCAAAGCTAAACTTAAAGTTAGCGGATAACGTTAAGTTTAATTTATACTAAATATAATATACTAAACATCACAACTTGATCACTTCTGTCCCTTTTGACCCATATGTGGTGCAATGACGTATGGATTAATACAAAATATAACTTAATTGTTATAACATTTTAGCCTTGACTCACACTCACTCACACAACTCACTTCACAGCACAAACAAAATGAACATAATTTGTACGTAAAAACAACAATAAAATCATTTCAAACTTTATGTCATGTTCAAAATAACAACTACAGAAACTATGTTCTGTGAAAATGCAGCATGAATGCTGAGAACTGAAAAAAGTCTGAAGAAGCTGAAACTGACCTGGTAAAGCTAAAATATGAGCTAAAGCTAATAGAAGCAAAATGCTAACTTAAATCTAAAGTAAAAAAAAAAGTTCAAAGTAGAAAAATGCAAATTGCTGCAAATCAGCAAAAAGCTACCTAAAAGTCAAATACAGCAGGACAACAATAACAAAGAGCTAAAATCTAAAAAATGTTAGCTAAAAGCTATATTTAGCAAAAGGCTAGCTAAAAGTAGCAAATAGGTAGCTAAAATCTAAAAGTAGCAAATGGCTTGTTTAAAGTTAAATTGACCAAATTGCTATCTAAACATAGCAATAGGTTAGCTATAAGTAAAAACTCCTAAATGCAGATAAAAGCTATGAAAAAGTTGCACAAATGTAGCAAGGAGCTAAAAGTATCAAAACACTAGCCATAAGCTAGCCGAGAACAACGTTTGAAGGAACTGAGGAGATATCAGTGGACTCCAAGAGGACAATGTCTGTAAATAAAGTCAAATATTTTTTTAAAACAATAAAAGTCCAAAAACCAAAAGTTACAGCAGCTGAAAGAGAGTTTTGGTTTATGAGCAGCTGAAAAAGCACAAAAGGTGTAAAAATAAAGATTAAAACATCAGAATGATTCTCCGATTAAAAACAAGTACAGAAAAAAAAGCAAAAACACAAAATTAACTTAGCTTGTTGATTTTATTTAATTATGTTTATTGAATCATCTGTTTGAATTTTTATGACACAACAACTGTGTTAACATCAATAAGATTTAAATTATGCACCCAGAATTATAATTTGATTCAGAAATGACACAATTTTAAACACAATTTTATTTTATTTGCATTTAACACATTTATCCTAAAACCCAACGGAACTGTGACTGACCTTCTTTTAATAACACAGAAAAATTGTTCTAATTTAAAAACCTGATTCATTCATTCACCTTTCTTTATCCAGGTTAGTCTCATTGATTCATGAGAAGACCTGTTTTAAACAGACAACATGTAATGGACAGAAGTTTCCATTCATTTATTGAGTCTGATGGATGAATCCAACAAGAATGATAAAACCGTATTTCATGAAATCTTACCCAGAGCCCGCCGCGGCCTCTCCTGACTTGTTTCAGCTGTAAACGATATCAGATGAACGGCGGCGTACAGAAACACCACAAAGCCCAGAAAGTAAGGCAGGAACTCCTTTCTCCTCGCTCTCTGCACAGACGCAGCTTCGCCCACCATCTTCAGAGTCAAAGAAGAAACGAACGAGGCGGATTCAGGAGCGACCTTTGATCAGCTGAGACTTAACTGAGCCAAGAGAGGGATTACTTGGGGGGGGGGATCGGGA